AGAGCCAAAGGGCGATTCACTCATCATGTTACCCACTGGGGTATGGGATTGGACTTGAAAAGGCAAGTTATTGGGATACAGCTTGGATACCACTTATACTAATCACATATTGTCTTTCATTGTGGGGGTGGGTCATGGTGTGTATATGCCGTGATTCATCCCTACATAGTTTGGCCGCCCTTACATTTTTGGATGATGGTGTTTGGGCACAAGCGGTAATCATCTTTGAAGTGGGTACTTGGAAAAAACAAAAGCATCAAGACATCGACTTGCACGGGCATCGTAGTTTGGGGGGCTTGGGACCTGGAATGGTACGTGGTCGTCGTGGTAGCGCTCTTGAAGTGGTAGGCGTTGTGTGTAGGATTCTCTCGAAGGGTGTAAATCCTGCATGTTTGATTCCTTGATTTATAGCACTGGTGTACTGGGATGTCATGTTCTGCTTCTTGTGTTGTGGGTTCTTCCTGAAGCCAGAGGTGAGCTCCTGCTCGTTTTGGGCGAAGAGTTCTCTTTTCTTTTTATTGGTGGTGGAACCGATGCGGATGACAAGGACTATCAATTTGGGACAAGCCTCTCTATTGCCATGAGATCTCTCTTCATTTTATTGGTGGTGAAGCCGATGCAGATGACAAGACAATCATTTGGCACAAGTCCTCTCTTCATTTTATTGGTGGTGAAGCCTATGTGGATGACAAGACAATCAATTTGGGACAAGCTTCTCTATTGCCATGAGATCTCTCTTCATTTTATTGGTGGTGCAGCCAACATGGATGACAAGGACAATCAATTGGCGCAAGCCCTCTCTTCATTTTATTGGTGGTGAAGCCGATGCGGATGGCAAGGCAATCATTTGGCACAAGTCCTCTCTTCATTTTATTGGTGGTGAAGCCGATGCGGATGACAAGGACTATCACTTGGCACAAGCCCTCTCGTCATTTTATTGGTGGTGAAGCCGATGCGGATGACAAGGCAATCATTTGGCACAAGTCCTCTTTTTCATGTTATTGGTGGTGCAGCCAACGTGGATGACAAGACTATCAATTGGCGCAAGCCCTCTCGTCATTTTATCGGTGGTGAAGCCGATGCGGATGACAAGATGATCAATTGGCACAAGTCCTCTCTTCATTTTATTGGTGGTGGAGCCGATGCGGATGACAAGACAATCATTTGGAGGAAGTCCATTCTCTATTGGCATGAGCTCTCTTTTCTTTTTATTGGTGAAGCCGATGCGGATGCCAAGACAATCATTCGGCACAAGTCCTCTCTTCATTTTATTGGTGGTGAAGGCAACGTGGATGATAAGATTATCATTTGGAGGAAGTCCATTCTCGATTGGCAAGAGCTCTCTTTTCTTTTTATTGGTGGTGGAGCCAATGCGGATGCCAAGATTATCATTGTGGCACAAATTCTCTCTATTGGCAAGAGCTCTGTGTACTTTCTTCTGGTGGTGGGGCCAATGAAGATGACAAAGACTATGGACGTTGGCACGAGTTCTCTCTTTTGAAGCTATTCATGGGTCGATCCATTCTTGGGCGCAATTCGGATGCGGACAAATTGGCGGCAACCAGTCTTATCAAGGAACGCTACACAAAGCAATCAAACGGATGCAATGAGAGGCACAACTTTGGAAGAGCCATGGCAGTTGGAGAGGCTCTATACCTGGGACAATCATCACAAGCATAAGGCAATTATCACAGCTACCAAGCTACATCGGATATGGAGCCACTACCATGTCGGGAAGCGATCATCTGAAAGCATACGCACGTCAACACCACTAGCGTAATCCTATTATACAACAAAAACAAAAGGCATGAAAATGGTATGTGGGTGATCAAATAGGTATACATCCACGGAACTAACCAACCTTTTTAAATAGATATTCAGCCACCAAAAGCATTACAAAAGAGCATATCAAAAGAAGATCAGAAAAGAAAAGCACATCAAAAGAAGAAATCAGAATCAGAAAAGCACATCAAAAGAAGAATCAGAAAAGAAAAGCATATCAAAAGAAGAATCAGAATCAGAAAAGCATATCAAAAAGAGAATCA